CAGGCTGCCCTGGGAGGATCCCTCTGCCATGGTGCCTGCAAACCAGCTGCAGGAAAGGAGACAGAGGGCACAGCTCTGCGGCGCTGTGCCAGATCTGCCCGGGTGTGAGTTCCTCTGGGGGACAGCAGCCGTGTCTAAGGCCGGAGGAACCGTTCCCATGGCTGCTTGCCCACGGTCTGTTCATGTCACATGGTCTCCCACAGGCTCTGCATTCGCCCAGCCTCTGTATCAGAGTTCCTATGGCCAGAAAAGACCTTGAGAGGTTATGTAGCCGGGTTTCCTAGCCAAAGGAGACTTACCCCCAAGTCATGATAAGTGACAGGTAAATGTCCAAACTGTGTCTAAGACAGCGATTGCCAACTAGTGGTGGTCCATGAGGTCCAGAAGGTTAGCAACCACTGCCATAGCCCTCTAGTCATCTCAAGGGAGAAGCTTCCCAGCTGCCCTCTCAGGAAGTCTTTCCACATCTCAGCGCTCGCCATCGGAGCTGGGTTTCTGTTGCAGAAATGAAGGCTTCTCTCCCAGAGGCTGGGAAATCACAAGATCTGCAGTGTGTCTTTAACCACATTCTGTGCTTCTCCAAGTTCCTTTGAGGCCTCCTTGCCTGGCTCCGGCCTCTGAAGTTCTCTAGCGTTTGCTGAGCTCTGTGTGTGGAGGAGCTGGCACTGTAGAAACACCAGCGTCATGCTCATTACCATACATGAACTCATTTGCTCATTCAACTGTCACAGATTTCAGCAGCTGGTACATGGAACCCTGGGAAATGGCTCATAGCCATTTTGGACCCTTAAATATGGCAATTTTGCCCAGCCGGTATGGATCGATGGATTGAGCATCATCCCATACACCAAGAGCTCACCGGTTCAATTCAGTTTACACAAATAAATAAGACTTGACCTTAGCCAGTTTTGCTCAGTGGGTAGAGCATTGGCCTGAGGACCAAAGGGTCCTGGGTTTGATTCCAGTCAAGGGTACATACCTTGGTTGCAGGCTTCTCCCTGGCCCGGGCCCTGGTCAGGGCTTGTGCAGGAGGTAACCAATCGATGTGTTTCTCTCACATCCATGTTTTTGTCTGTCTTTCCCTCTTCCACTCTTTCTAAAATTCAGTGGAAAAATATCCATTGGGTGAAGATTAACCAAAAACAAACAACTAAAAAAAAAAATAAAATAAAACACACAAATAAATAAGGCTTGGATTCTTAACATACACAGTTGGGAATACCCAACAAAGCTACAGAGAGACAGGCCCTAGAAACCAGTGCTGCCTGGCAGTGCATGCTGTAACGTGAGCAGTGATGGGTGCCAAGGGGATGTGTGGTCACCCCCAGCACTGTCGGTCATTCACACAGGCCAGTCTGCATCATCTGCACCCCAGCCCGCTCCAGTGCAGAGACAGGGGTTCTTGGCACCCTCAAAAGAAAAAGAAATGGCTGTCCTTTATCTTTTCTTCTTTGTTCAGCGCAGCTGAACAGACTATGTGAAATTCTTGTATCGGGACAGAAATCCCCACTGATGCCTTCATTTCAGCCTGAGAGAGTGTCCTGACCCAGTTACTGCCCCGTCTCGCCACTCCTTTTCACGGACATTCACTATGTTTTTTTCTTTGTCCGCTGCCACCATTCTGAAGCAGCTCTTAATAAACTCAGCAACAAATTTTCTAGCTGCTAACGCCAGAGATTTCACCCAGGAGACTCTATAAAAGTAGCAGCCCATCCGTGAGCCAGCCACTAAGCCAGGCACGAATTTCTCGGTCTCCTCAGTCCTCAGGGCATCAGACACAGTTCCCACCTCTGAAGGAATCTTCTTCTCGACTTCCAGCTCTCAGGCTGCTTCCAGCTCTGTTTCAGGTTCTTTCATGGACTCTTCTTCCTGCTGCAGCTGGTAAATATTCTCCTTCCTCAGGGGTGGTTCTGAGACCTTCTCTTGCTCACTCCCTCTGCTACCATCTCTTCAGCCATATCCTCTGTGTAGGTGGATTTCCAGGTCTATATATACATTAGAGGCCTGGCACCTGACATTTGTGCACTTAGCAAGGGAGTTGGAGATTTTTTTATTGACTTTACAGAGAGAGAAAGAGAGAGAGAGAGAGAGAGAGAGAGAGAGAGAGAGAGAGAACAGTTGCCTTTCACACACAGCCCAACAAAAGATCAAACCTGCAGCCTTAGTAAGATACATACCCTGACTGGGAATCGGACCAGCAATCTTTCGGTGCATGTGACGACACTCAACCAACTGAGCCACGTGGGCCAGGGTCCCAGATCTGATTCTTGTTTCTGATTTCCTACCGATGATCAAACTGAGCACATTCAAAAGGATTGTGTGCAAAAGTGTGCTCCCTTCAGTCCTTATCTCAGCAAATGGCCTCTTTACCAGAGACATCCTCACTCACTCATCTCCGGGTAGATCGGTTAGCAGATCCTCTTGATGCCTCCTCATCGGAACTGTGGCTCCCAGTTGCACTCTCCAGCGCCTCTACTTCACCCCAGGTGCTTAGGCTCCC